TCTGCTTCCTACTGTCATGTTCTAAGTTCAGGTTTGTAAGTACTCAAACTTAATACTTAGTTTTCACTTTTTTCTTTTCTCCTGCCTCCTTCTCTCTCTACCCCTCCTTCTATCTTCCTTACCAATACATTTTTGTTTTATTTTCAGTGGTTGCTGTATGGATTATAATATGCATTATTAACATATAACAGTATCTACTGAATTTTTAAAATACTGTATCACATACAATAGTATAACTGCACTTTCACTTCATACTTTGTGCTATTCTTGCTATATATTTCATTTCTGTAAGTGCTATAAATCCTACCACTCAGAATATTATGAAAGTCTTTTGGAGAATGTTTTTTAAATACTCAATTTTTAAGCAATGGTGTTGTGTTGTGCACTCCAACGGGCTTGAGAAGCCCTTCTTCTAGAATCTTGCTGGATGCAGTCTACACAGTTTCTCTCTTGGACTGGCTCTCCCTGCTGCCTGCATCTTAGCAGATGTTTCAGGTTCCTGGCGTCTCTAACTTCCTAGGGTCTCCACTGCATCTTGGCTTCATCCTCACAGCTTTACACATCACCCTCCTCAGGGGTTCCCTACAGGGATCTTGACCCCACCACAAACTGCTTGGTTTCCCAGGTCTTCCTTTAAAATTGGGCTGGAAGCCTCCATTATCCCTAACTCTTGCATTCTGCATGCTGCAAAATTCACATCATGTGGATGATGCCAAGGTCTGCCACAAGCTTGAAGAGAGATGGGCCCACTTGGACCATGGCTGCAACAGTCTCTGGGTGCCTGGATGGCTGATTGTGGGCAAACACTAATCTGGGTAGCCCAGTGCAAGCAATGTGCTTCAGAGCCTTCTTCCCAAAGCACTCTTTCAAATGAGTTAAACCCTTCACACCTTAGAGAATGTGATGGGTGAGGTCAGGTCAATTCCTAAGATACCTTCAAGGAATCTTTCTTATTTTCCCCTATGCAAAGTACTTGTATTTTTAATGGCCCTAATTTCTTCAGTAGCCATACTTTCTTTGGCCCTAACTTTAAACACTCTTCTTTTCTGGGCAATTTGCAAGTTTCCTAAACCTTTATGCTCTACTTCTTTGCTCAAAAATTTCACTGTAAATTTGCCTAATGCAGCTAGCAATCACCATGCCACAGCCTGAATGCTGGACTGCCTTAAAAGTTCCTCCAGCAGATTATTTAGCCCATCACTTTTAAATTTAGCCTCAGGCAAAATCTCAGGGCAAGGACAAAATATAGACAAGTTCTTTGCCACAATGTAATATGCAAGGCCTCTGGTCCAGTTCTCAATATAGTCTTGTACCCATGTGAAACCTCACAAGCACAATCTTTAGTCCATATTCCTATCAGCCTTCTAGTCTTCTGAGCTCCCGCTAGAATCACCTATTAAACTCTGCTCACAGCATTCTAAGTTTTCTCTAGTTTGCTTCTCCAAACTTCCCAAAGTCCTCCCACAAACCAATTCCAAAGACTTAATAACCACATGGTCATGTTTAGTCTGAGCAAGGACCCCATTATTCTGGTACCAAGTTTCTTTATAAGTCAAACCTCATCACTATCAATATGTCTGAGAAAATAATATAATTGGCAGGATTTATTTTGTCTCAGGGTTTCAGAGGTTTCAGTCCTTAGCAGAGCAAAGAAGTTCACCTCATGGGAGACCAGGAAGCAGAGAGAGAGAGAGAGAGAGAGAGAGAGAGAGAGAGAGAGATGCCTGCACTAACTGGCTTCCTTCTCCTTCCTCCTCTTATTCCATCTGGCCAACAGCCTATGAAATAGTGATGCCCACTTTAGTGTAGGTCTTCCCAGTTTAATTAATGCTCTCTGGAAATACTCCCAGAGACACACCCTGAGATGTGCTTTATTAATCTTCTAGGCATCTCTCAATCCAATCAAGTTTACAATCAAGATTAGCCATCACATCATCTGAACACTGGGATTACTCAATGAGGCTCTTATGCATGTGCTCTAATATCTAAGCCTTCAAGGCTTATGTTAAAAGGCAAACTCATGTCTTTGGCCAAGGCCTTCTGTTTGAACAAAGGCAATGTAACTTTCAATGGCATCTAACTTCTGTCTAGGGACACTGTGAGTCTTCTTTCTGTACAGAACTGACTCATTAATGTTTACTCTCTAATTTGACTAACTCCTGCCCCCTGGTATACCTGGCCTCTAATGTAATCAGCCCTTAACTGCCCACTAAAGTAACAGTTCAAAATAGAGGACCATCTGAGAGTTAAAATAGCTACAGATATAAACACCTGTGAGCAAAGTAACTATAAGACTCTCTGTCACTCCTCAAAATTACTTTATCCTTCCTGCCACACATGGCAGGACCCCTTCTGATGCTCCTATCATTACTGATGTTCAGGTCATGCCTTCTAAACCAGGTTTATCTATTCCAGGATAAAAGCCTTTAAAACCCAAGCCATAACACGACAGGGCCATAAACTTCTGGAAGTGGATGAGTTGCCCATGAGCAATATTGATTGGGCTGGACAAAGACTCAGACAATAAACGTCACTGTTCAAGTCCCCAGAGGCAGCAATAGGAAAACAACAATATTCCTTAGAGGCAGGGTCTACAGTCCCTTGTCAGCTCAAAGCAGCTACTGAAGATGAACCACCCCCCCTTCAGCAACCCCAAAAAAGAATATTTTGGAATACTGTCTCTCAGGGGGAGTTTGAGGCAGGACTAGGTTAGGGATAGTCTGCAACTGCTCCCCCTCTTGGTTCAAGGGCTTCTACCTCTAGCCCACATGTGAGAGGAGCCAGGTGATGACATAATATCTCCCCACCTCCAAGTTCAAGGCAGTATAAAAACAACCTACCAAGAGACCCCTACCCCTCTTTTTCCCTTCCCTCACCTGGCAGGATGGGTGACTCCCCTTCCTTCAATAAAGCTATTCTACCTCACCCCATTCATGCGTTCTGCTTGGATTCTTCCATTTGGAGCACAAAAACCAAGATCTTCTGAGATCACCAATAACACAATCAAGTTTACAGTAAGATTAGCCATCACATCATCTGAACACTGGGACTATTTAATGAGGTCATAATGAAATAAACCAGAAATTGTTAGGTCCCTGGAATTCTTGGGGTGGGTGGAGAGCCCCGAGGCTAACACTGAAACTAGATCCCCCTGATTTATGACCACTTGCAAAACTCCCGATTGTTTCCCTGCTTGCAAAGCCACAGGAACTTCCCATTTCTCAACTTGCTATGCACTTTGACCCATTCTATCTGGTGATCACAGATAAATGGAGGCCAGCAGCCTGGCTGTTCTCTGGGAGGAACACCCTCCCTTCCCTGCGGTGTGGCCCCTCCTATAAAGCCCTCTACCCATTCCAGCTGAGCTGCTGCATTCTGAACCCAAGAGACAGCCCAGCAGTCTGTGCTTCCAATAAATAAATATAATCCCCATCAAAATACCAATGATAATTCTTCACTAAAAAGAAAAAAAAAATCCTAAAATTCATATGAAAGTACAAGAGACACCAACTACCAAGGCAAACCTGAGTAAAAAGAGCAATATATACTACATATCCACAGTAACAAAAACAGGAGAGTACTGGCACAAAAACAGACATACAGACCAATAAAATAGAAGACCTAAAAAATAATATCCAGAATATATAAATAACTTAAAAAATTAAACATCAAAAGAACAAACAATTCAATCAAATGAGTGAATGTGCTCTCTCTTGTCTGGAATTTACAGGGGGAAAAAAGGACATGAGAGTTAAAACATGAACTATTAGGTATATGGAAGGAGAAGAAGACCAGGAGAGGGAAGATGAGGTAGGGTAACAGAGGGAGTGAATATGATCAAATCACATTATATGCATGTATGAAAATGTCATAATGAATTCCATTATTTTGTGCAATTAATATACACTAATAGGCTAGGTGTGGTGCTATATACTGTAATCACAGCTACTTGGAAAGTAGATGAAGGAGGATTTTGGTCCGAAGTCTGCCCTGGGAAAATGTGAGACACTGTTTGAAAACTAAACTAAAAGGAAAAAGGGCTGGGGCATGGCTCAAGTGGTAGAGTGCTGCCTAGCAAGTACAAGGCCTGAGTCCACCCCAGTACATTTATTCTAATGAAAATAAAAATCTATGCCCTGCTTGAGGTTGCTTAAAAAAACAAAAACCAAGCTTAAAGAACTATCTTCCATACTTAACATTTAGAGTTTGTAAAAACATATGAGCATAAAGGAAATGCTTTAGACTTTCACTAAAACTCAACTAATTAATAAAACATAAGAAATAACTGGACTAACTGATGAATCCTACAACTCTACAGAACAGTACCATTATTTTAAAAGAAAGCCTTGAGATAGATTTAAGATTCTAAATAGCTTAATTATAAATGGAAGAATAGCAATTTCTGAAATTTTATGAAGTGTGGTCTGAAGACAGATGCACACATTTCCAGGTCCTCTATAGACTGGCTCCATGATAATAAGAGAATGTGTGTGTGAGACAGATGGATGAGTAGATAGGTAAGTAGATTGTAGATAAACAGACAGACAGACAACAATGTTGGGGTTGTTATAAAGACATATTATATAACCCATGTGAAAATAATTTGAGAGAGTCTATATAAGGGGAATAAAGAAGAGGAAAGAAGGGTGAGGAAATGAAGAAAAAGAAAGGGTAGACAAAGATAGATGAAAAAGGAAGAATAAGATAGAGAAAAACTTGTGCACATTAAACACTCAGAACCAAACAGCAACATCTCAGGAAAGAAATCCACTGAGATAATGTACTAAGCAATAAACTGCTTATTAAAAAACAATACTACAGCACATGGCATAGAAGATGAATACTGTAAAATACCATATGAAAAAGGATTGTTTATGTTTTTTTAAACAGTGGTAACTGGGGTATAACATTTGAAACTATAAAGAAACATAGCAATTATGGTAGAATATTTGATACTATAAAGAGATATTATTATATCTAGAAGAGAACTTTAACATTACCTGTACAGAAAAGTACTTCACATCATTGAACTTAATTACAGGGTTCTTTTCATTAGCAGTGGACTTCAAGCTATGAGTTTTTGTACATTTTACAATGTTGTTTACAGAGATGCGAAAAAACAAACTATTGCGATGTTGTGAACTGACTGAAAACAGAATATTTAGGAAACGAATTTTGTTGTAATTGAACAAGTAACACATTTTAAGATTAACCTGTTAAATAATTCATTCCAAAACATTAAAATCAATCAAGTAGATATACAAGGTAATCATATATATATAATATATAGATAGAGATAGAGATGGTATAGATATAGATATTGATGGCACTGGGTTTGAACTCAGGGCCTCATGCTTGCTAGGCAGGTGCTCTTATTGCTTGAGCCACTCTGCCAGCCCCCATGACAAGTCTAAAAATAAAACATTCCTTTTTTTTAAGGCACCAATATACAATAAGTTCTTTGAAATGTTAAGGAAGCATATTTATTACTTATGAGCAAATGAGCATTATATCTAAGAAAATATGCTTTTCTTTGAAGTTATATGGTGATTAGAGTAATTATAGCGACAAAAAGTCTCTTGTCACTTCCACATCAAAAAGTAGAGTTTATTTCCTTGTCCTTGAATCTGAGCTGGCCTTGTGATTATTTTAACCCATGGACACAACTAGGACTGGCATAGGATGGATGAGGGAAGAGATTCACATAGAGAGTACAATTTAAGGGAGACTAAAACTTAGTAATCAAGATAAGAAATAACATTTTAAAATCAAAATCAGTGCAAAAAAATGATGGGACAACACAGAATGAAGTTCCAACCACTGCAACATCAGCCAAGCCAAACTTCCAGGCATCCCCAGTAAGTGCGAGACACAGAAATGGGTCATTGCAGACCTCCCAGCCCTTTAACCTCCCAGCCCTTTAGAACTGCCAACTGCAGCTAGAGCTGTAGCACTGTAAAGCGAAGTGAGAGTGCCTCCTGCTCGGCACAGCGAGTGACTGATACCAAAGTAATTAATATTTTAAGACACTCAATTTGGAGTAGTTCAGCAGCAATGGGAAGAAAAGATATAATCATACTGTGATTTTTTAAACCCAAAGAAAGGATACTTTTAGGTATTAATTGTCTGCAATTCTTTATATGAACAGCCAGCAGCCAACCTACAAATAAAGAACAGTGAACACATTTTTTTAAGAAGTTAACTTTTCTTCTACTTTACTCTGTACTATCTTTAAGCTTTTTAAAGCTTCACCTCATTGTTTTCCTCATTAGAAATATTTATTTTACTTAAAATATGTACTAATGCATATCATAAAGCAGAAGCAAAAGAAAAACGATCAGGCTGTGCTCCAATGAAGCCTAAAATGAACAGAAATACAAATAGCAAAAAACAGTTCACTATTAACTTAATTGTGAACATCACTCTTTGTTTCCATTTCATATTTTGTGGAAACTGATAAAACATTACATCCTACACATAAATATAAGAAATGTAGTATACTTTAAATAAGCTCTTTTGTTCAGTATCCTAAAACCACTTCATTCACTCACTGGCTACACCATGTCAGGAGCTAGTTGTAACATACTCATTCTCTCTTGTAGAGGTGTCTGTAAACATTGAAAGAAATTATATCTTGTATTTAACTATAAAATTAATTACAAAATTAACACAGGAATACTTGAATTCTAAATATGAAGTATTAGTCAAATATATTTAGACATTTTTTAGCTTAAAAGTCAAGTAAAATTAGCAGGAATAATATATTAAAGATGGTAACATGATAGGAAATAGAGAAAAGGGATAAGAACAATTCTTATTTCACACCCAGTAGCTGCTCTAATCATGCTATAAGAAATACATATGAATAAAAATACTAAAAGAATGCCACGACATTGGTAGTTCCAAAAGTGCACAGATCTTCATGTCATATACACTGAAGCACCCCAATGGAATAACAGATTTTTCTTGTTCTCTGTCTAGATATTAGGTCCTACCAATGCACGTATGTCTGTGTGTGTGTGTGTGTGTGTGTGTGTGTGTGTGTGTGTGTGTGTGATGACTATTTTGTTTCTGTGGGGGGGGGTTGGATGCAATGTGGGGTCAATTTTCAAACTGAAGGTCAATCTGATAATAAATATCACCTGCAGAGCTCAGTGAAAAATATTTATTTCCAGGCTCCGTTTCAGACATTCTAAGTTAGTTTATCTTATGTAGGGTCCAAAATCAATGTCTTTAAAAAGTATCATAGATAATACTCATTTAACTGGGTTTGGGAATCCTTCATATAGAAAAACATTATTTCTGTGAATTAGGGTATTTTTCATAATTTCAGTGAATTATTATGTTTTTCTGACTCATAAAATTGAAAATGCATGAATACATTATCAGAAAGGACTATTTTCTATGCATACTTTTCAATTACCAGGTAATCGACATCAACTATATTTTATATCTAATCCAAAAATTTTTACAGGTTAATTGAGGCTTAGTTATACATACCACATCCCCAAATGGCACTAGAGTTGGTGTCTCCTGTTTTACTACCACTTCTTCACTCTCAGACTCCTGAAGAGTTTGTCTCAGCATCTACAATATAAATTAACTAATTTAATACTTTAGAAGAAAAAGAAAAACATAATAGATATATAATTCAATTCAATATTTATTTGATGAGTATCTAGTAAGTCAAGTATCTAGGCAGTATATATAAATATGAAAATGAAACTCACTCCGATCTTCAATAACTTTATCAATAAGTAAATATATAAAACAATGTATACAATGAAATATAAAATCAGTCAGGAAATCATGAAAAGAAGAAATGTTTTAGGCTCATGGTTATTTTGACCCATAGTCATTTGGCCTGGATATTTTGGAAGTACAGTAATACAGTACGTCATGATGGTAGGAGTGAATGACAAAGGAATAGGTCACTTCATGGGGGCCAGGAAGCAAAAAGAAACAGAGAAAGGAGCCAGGGTCCTGATATTACTTTCAAGGGCATGCTCACAATGACGTAACTTCCTTCCACTAGGCCCCACCTCCTAAAGATTCCACCACTTCCCAGTAGCACCACAGACTGGTAACCAAGTCTTTAACGCATGAGCTTTTGGTGGACATTCAAAATCCAAGCTATAGCACCAATACTGGAAAAGGGGACATACAGATGAGCACTCAACATCTTTTGGGACCAGAAAGAAGGTCCTCCAAATAATGTCCAATTGTCACAAAGGCCACCAGAAAAGGGTGTCCATAACAATGTCTGGTACAGTTTGAAAATCAAAACAAATAAAATGAAAATAGGGTATTATAACCCATAGAACCCACAAGTCTTTACTGATTAGAAGGAAAATGAATAAATGAAAAAACTCTTCCTTTTAGCATAATGCCAACTAATAAGAGCAGGAGTGGTAAACTTGAAAAAGTACTACTCTGTAATCATCACAGTAAAATCATTTTGAAAAAATCACCAACACAAGGGAAAGTTTGATATAGACAACAATACTGATACAGTCTTAAAGTATCTCCTCACAGAGTGCACTTTAAACGCCAGGGTTACAATTATAGCTATACACACTGGCAGGCTTAGAAAAGTAACTTCATCAGTGACAGATAAGACACACGTTACATGTTTCCGTATGTATGCAGTGAAGAGGACACAGCACCTGATATGGTACTTCAGCCAGGGATGCTTAACCTAAGTCAGTTTGTGGGGAAATACCATGCAAACCCAGGCTGAGGAGCAGTCTATAAAATAGCTAGCCTCTACTCTTTATTTACTTGTGTTCTTTTTTGTAAATACTGGGATTTGAACTCAGAACCCTGTACTTACTAGGCAGATGCTCTACCACTGGACCCATGCCTCTGGCCCTTTTTTTTCTTTAGTTATTTTTCAGATAGTGTCTCACATTTCTTTCACAGGTTGGCCTCAGACTACAATGTTTCCCATGTAACTGGGATCAGATATACACCACTAAGGTTGGCTTGTTAGTTAAGATGGGGATCTCACTAACTCTTTGCCCAGGCTAGCTTCAAAACACTATCCTCCCAATCTCCATCTCCCAAGTAGCTGGATTTTAGGTATGTGCCACCACACATAACCCTAGGCCCTATTTATTTATTTATTTTTTAATGTCAAGTTAGGTGAAACAAATGTAAAATGTAAATTTCAACTGTAAAAGGACTTGTGTAGACAAATACAGTTCTCTGAGAGTAAGGAATGCACTCTCCTCAGGGACCAGGGACTCCCCATTGGGAAAATGGGCTGCTACTTTCACTGCCAAGTTGGGGAGGGTTATAAATGAGTCTAAATTAAAACACCACAAAGCTTTCTGATTGGTTTTAAGCGTTTTGTCTTTTCTTTTCTTTTTTTTTTCTTTTTTTGGTAAGACTGGAGTTTGAACTCAAGAGCAATGAGTTTACAAAGCAGGGCTCTACCATTGAGCCACACCTCTAGTGAAGTTTCCTTTTTCTTGATTCAACATGTTTGATTGGTGGTAAGCTTCTGATTTCCAGTGTTCTGAAAAAGGTGATACTCACAGTATTTTTAACTTTCTGCTCTGTGGATGAATGGGCCCTTGGAGCTGCTAACTTTATCATTTCACTAACATCACTCCAGCTGGTAGCCTTCTATGTCACGCCACCCAGGGGCCATTTTATGTAGAACCTGAAGAAGTCTACCATAGTTGGACTTCCTTGTTGATGGTGGGATGGACAAAATGCAGTACTTTGTCCTTTACTTTGTACAGGATGCCCTGGCATGCCCTAAATCACTGGACTCCTAAGAATTTCATTGATATGTCAAGGCCTTCAACCTGTTTTTTGTTGTTGTTTTGGTGGCACTGTGGTCTGAATACTTTTCCTTCAGCAATTCTTTTCCCCCTTCAGCTATCCACCCTAAATAAAATCTTTAGTAGCTTATAACATAATTGATCTGAATAAGCAGGTTCTAAAATGGGGATCTGCACGTGGACCACTTCCCCCTGGTGACCAATCAGGCCCTGGTTTAGGTAAAGGATGAATAGCCCCTGGCATGTGGTAATGTAGCCCGTTGCTCAAAAGGGCACTAACATTACTAACTAACTTACTAAAGATTTTATTCTCTGATGAGCACTGTGAGATTTGCAAGCAGAAAAATTACTAGAGAGTGGAGTGAGATTTTTCTTGCTCCTGGTTATTACTGAACTTAACTGGGCCTAACCAGGGGCAACGAGAGATGCAGAAAGGACACAGGCTAGACAGACAAGACAGAAAGTTGGGGCCAGGTGTGCTGGGCGCTCCGCTGGAGATGCATGACAGCCTCATTGCTTCTTATCTCTATTTTTTTCTGCTTCTTTTCTCTATTTTTTTGTTAAGGTCTTACTCTTTTACAATTCTTTAAAACCTTGCTTCTAAAAGTCTTCTTTTCTATTCATTAAAGTCTCTTTCCTTAGACTTGTTGTGTCACATGTTTTCTCTTAGCTTTTCTTTAGCATAATCTCTCTTAAAGTCTTTGCCCTCAGACTTGCACTGTCTCATGCTCTCTTTAGTTTTTCTTTAGCTTAGCTTATCTAAAGTCTATGTATAAAGTTCTCAGTGCAGACTTGCACTGTTCCATGTTCTCTCTAGCTTTTTTAAAGTCTCAGCCCTCAGACTTGCAGACAATCAACAGCGATTATTCCCTTGCAAGCTGCCAACCAATTCTATCAACCCCTCTTTAGCAATTCCCCTTTGACAATTCTCCTTCAGCAATTCTATTCCCTTCAGCAATCTTTCTTCTTCCCCCCATACCCCCTCCCGCTTCAGCAATCAATCCTTCCTTCAGCAATCTGCTTTCCCCCTTCAGCAATCTCCCTCCAGCACTTTCCCTTCAGCCAAAAACCCCTGCAGCAATCCTCATTTATCAAAAAACCTCACATCCACCTTCAATGAGTCTTTTGTACCCAGTAGTAAACAAGGAGGTGGAGCAGCAGTTCTTGGGGAGGGGCATGACATTGTAACAAGAGGAACCTGCGTTCCTGCTTCTAAACAACTTAGGAAAAGCAGCTGAGCTGTAGCTCACCTTCTTGCTCTCCTGTGTAGCTGGGGCTGTGCCAAATCTCAGCCTACAGATTATTTGACATAAACATCTTAGGAAAAGCAGCTGCTCTGCATCTTTTTCTCATCCTATTCTGCAGTGGGGGTTGTGCCAAACTCAGATTGCAGAACATTGAGTACAACTGTGCTTATGTCCTTATAGGCTTCTCTTACTCTGCTCCCCACAAGGGAGTACTTTTGTGTTCCACATCTCCAAGGGAGTGAAAGAAGCAAGACCAGATATAGAAAGAAATTGAGCTGTGTTACAGTTGCAAGAAAAGGGCTCAACTGATGCTATGGTTAACTCAGGAGTTGGAGTTGTCCTGCAGAGTTATACCACACTGAGACCAGGAGGCCAGGATTGTATGTTTCTGCATGAACCAATCATTAAACTTGGCAACTACCAGAAAGACAGAGTACATGTATTTTCCCTAAGTCTTCCCTCTAATACAAGTAAAGCTCCTGAATATTATATATAAGACAAATATAAGACTCTAAAAGGTAGGGAAACACAATTTCTCATGATTTAAGGAATGACACAGTATTGAGATTCCTGAATTTTATTTTTGTCTAGCATACCCCACACTTGGAGAAGTCAGAAGCCCAGATATGCAAAACATCAACTTAGACCTGAGTATGTTGGCGTATACACATAGTGCCAGATACCTAGGACGCAGAGGCAGGAAGATCATGAGTTTGAGGCCAGTCTCAAAAAAGAAAAGAAAAAGAAAAACAACAGAAGGGCTGGGGGCATAGCTCAAGTGGTAGAGCATAAGCATGAAGCTCTGGGTTCAATCCCTACTACTGCAAAGAAACAAACCTTTCAACTTAGATACCTGTCTTCAAGCCAAAATGCTAGAAAAGGGGTATTCCCTACAACTGAACATCACTATGGCCTCACCCTTCCCAGTTTCAGTAAATGCCAAGTGGGAAGCCTAGACTTCCACCCTCAAGGAGTGAAATGAGCTGCCCCCACCCCCAATTCTTGCAGGCATGATACAAAAAGAGCCAATAGGGAGTCAGAACTTTCATCTCCATCTTCTACTACCAGCAGTGTCAATGGACACCAAAAAAAAAGCCTTGATTTCCATCCACATTCAGCAGTAATGAGGTACCTCCCCTCTCCACTAAGGCAGTATCAAAGAAGGGCTATTGAAGAATAAGAACTCACACATCACCCAGAATTAACAAGGCTACCTCCACTGCAGTGTCATTGAAGAAAAAAAGAGCACAGTCTCTCACCTCCACTTATAAGGATCTCCCACTTCAGGTGTCAACAGAGATCAAGTAAGAAATCTAGATTTCTACCTCAACCTAGCAATAATGAAGAAGGACCACACCTTCCTCTACTAGAACAATATAAAAAGGAAGCCAGCTTAAAAAAAAAGGTTTAAATAGAATCCAGAGCCTTAGAACATAATCCAAAAACATACAGGTTTCAATAAAAAATAATTTTTCATACCAAGAACCAGGAAGATGTGAGCTATGGTTTGAGTCTTGAATGTCCCCCAAAGCCCATATGTTAGTCTTGG